GTAGAGAAGTTCAGGGAATCATCAATCTGGAGAGCTGGATAGTTTACTGATGAATATGTTTAAGTTGACCAAGATGTTGTAGAAAAGTGAGGGGAAGGAAAGGAAGACTGTGAACCATAGGCCAAAGCTCTTAATAAATGTAGGGAAGTACCGTGGAAGCTGACCAATGATAGGGTGAAAGGTAAGAGCTACAAAAAACTTTCAAGGAAAAAGAACTATAGAAAGAAGGCAGTGAGCCAATGGCCTGGAAGGGGCAGGGGGAGCCAGGGAACAGAGACTATGTATCTGGCATGATGGGGTTGATGTATTTTCACAGCGATTCAGTAAAGTGAAGGAAATCTGTAGGGGCACAAGAAGCCAAACTAGGCCAGGCGTGGCGGCTCATGCCTGCAATCCCAGCACTTCAGGAGGCCAAGGTAGGTGGATTGCCTAAGCCCAGGAGTTCAAGACCAGCCTGTGCAATAGACACCATCTCTACAAAAAATAAAAATATTAGCTGGATGTGGTGGCACATGCCTGTGGTCTCAGCTACTCAGGGGCTGGGGTGAGAGGTCATTTGAGCCCGAGAGGTTAAGGCTACAGTGAGCTTTGACTGTGCCACCTGCACTTCAGCCTGGGTGACAGAGTAAGACCCTGCCTCAAAAAAAAAAAAAACCAAAAAACTAAGCAGAGCTAGTGATGCTTGGTCAGGAATGGGAGTAGGCTCCAGTAAATACACTGGAAAATCTCTGGGCTGGTATCAGGTTGGGAAAGATCCTAAGGGGAAAAGTACAAGGGAATATGGTAAGTTGGGAAAATAGCAATGGGATAGAAGGGAAAAACATGTCACAAATAAAAAGGTGAACTGCTGGGAAACTAAAAAGGCTTCCTGCTGGCCAGGAGGATTTGACCTATGTCAAATATATGTCAACACCCTGACCTTTATCAGGTCTACTTTCATGGTCAAAGAACGGATGACTCTGTCCACAGAAAAGAGATCCAAGTTCTCTCAATGACTGTAAGAAGAGACTTAGATGAAGCATGCTTAGTGTTTTTTAGGTTTTTCTTTTTTTTTTTTTTTGAGACGGAGTTTCGCTCTTGTTGCCCAGGCTGGAGTGCAATGGCGTGATCTCGGCTCACCGCAACCTCCGCCTCCTGGGTTCAGGCGATTCTCCTGCCTCAGCCTCCTGAGTAGCTGGGATTGCAGGCACGAGCCACCATGCCCAGCTAATTTTTTGTATTTTTAGTAGAGACGGGGTTTCACCATATTGACCAGGATGGTCTCGATCTCTTGACCTCGTGATCCACCCGTCTTGGCCTCCCAAAGTGCTGGGATTACAGGCTTGAGCCACCGCGCCCGGCCTTTTTTTTTTTTTTTAAATGGAGTCTTGCTCTGTCATCTAGGCTGGAGTACAGTGGTGTGATCTCTGCTCACTGGAACCTCTGCCTCCCAGGTTCAAGTGATTTTCCTGCCTCAGCCTCCCAAGTAGCTGAGATTACAAGTGTGTGCGACCACACACAGCTAATTTTTGTATTTTTAATAGAGATGAGGTTTCACCATGTTGGATGGGCTGGTCTTGACTCAGGACCTCAAGTGATCCACCTGCCTTGGTCTCCCAAAGTTCTGGGATCACAGGTGTGAGCCACTGCCACTGTACCCAACCATTTTTTAGGTTTTGACTGTTAGCTGGGGGCCTCTCTACTGCTTGAGAAGGTCAAATTTGACTGCCGGTATTTTTTTTTTTTTTTGAGACAGAGTGTCGCTCTTGTTACCCAGGCTGGAGTGCAATGGCGCGATCTCGGCTCACCGCAACCTCCGCCTCCTGGGTTCAGGCAATTCTCCTGCCTCAGCCTCCTGAGTAGCTGGGACTACAGGCACGCGCCACCATGCCCAGCTAATTTTTTGTATTTTTAGTAGAGATGGGGTTTCACCATGTTGACCAGGATGGTCTCGATCTCTCGACCTCGTGATCCACCCGCCTCGGCCTCCCAAAGTGCTGGGATTATAGGCTTGAGCCACCGCGCCCGGCCTGACTGCCGGTATTTTTTGCCAGAGATAATCAATGAGGGTATTGGGATGGGGTGAGAAAAGTCAGAGTTGTTATAAAATGGCCTGTTTTCTTGGTAGTGCTAGAAGAGGGCAGGGAGGCCTATGCTGGGTTATGCTCATATTTTGGGAGAAAAAAGACTGCTATGGATGTAGTGACTCTGTAATATGAAAATGATTAGAATTTGGAGAGGAGACTGCGTTATTTCTTAGGATGAACGTTTTTTCCTGAAACCCCTTCATGTGAAGAAGACTGACAGAAGACTTTGCCATCTATTGAGCTCTTTGCTGGTAAGGACATGAGTTGTTGATGTTTGCCTAGGTCATCCATAGTAACAAGTCTTGAGTGCTGCACTGATGGCTAGGAGTTTGCTTTCACCATATGGCTCAGTCTCAAAAAAAAAAAAAAAAAAAAAAAGAGAGAGAAAAGTAATAGTGGAAAAAGGCAACTGGCCAGGAAGTTCCCGTGGCAAGAGGGCACTGACCACTGTGTTGGATGCATGGGTCCTTCCAGCAGAGGACAGACAGAAGGAAGTGCTGGGTTGTCCAGTTTAGAGTCCCAACAAAATGACTTCCCTGAACCCCTCCTTCAGCAGGACCATTAAAGGGTCTCCTTGCTAAAAGATAGACACATAGTGTTAACGAAAGGCAGAAAGCCCAGGAGATTATGAAGCCCATCTCATGATAATTGCATCCATCTCACAGAGGCCTTTCTTGGAACCCTAACTTTCTACCCTGAAATCACTCAAAATATGTTTCATGAATCCAAATTCATTCATTTACTCTTCCCCTTATCCCCCCCGAGCATTTACCATAAATCAGGACCTGTTCTGAGAGGTAGGGATGAATATAGTTATGGGACAATTGACCTTGAGGATCTTAGCAGGGAAGGCTGATTCATGGATAACTGCCACAACTTGTGAAACATACTTTAATAAAGGTGTGGCAAAGCTCAAGGACACAGTGGAAGGAATGTGTAGTTCTGCTATGGGGAGTCATGGGAAGAGTCAGAGAAGGTTCTACAAAGGAAAAAACACTTGGTCAGAGTCCTCAAGAGAGGAAATCTAGAGAGGGCCCATGTAAAAGCATGGGGAGGTATAATGGCATAGTAAGTATAAGGAATTCTAAGTCTCTTGGTACACTCAAGGAGTAGTACATACATCTGTCATTTAATTATATGTAATTATCACAAAAATTTTCCAAGGTAGCTTTTATTATCCCAGTTGTTCTAATTAAGAAAGTCTGGGGCTGGGCGCAGTGGCTCACACCTGTAATCTCAGAACTTTGGGAAAGCCAGGTGGGTGGCTTGCTTGAGGTGAGGAGTTCAAGACTAGCCTGGGTGACATTGCAAAACGCTGTCTCTACTAAAAATATAAAAATTTGCCAAGTGTGGTTGTGTGCCCCTGTAGTTTCAGTCACCTGTGAGGCTGAGGCACAAGAATCATTTGAAACAGGAGGAAGAGGCTGCAGTAAGCTGAGATAGCAGCCTGGGCGACAGAGCAAGAATCTGTCTCAAAAAATAAAAATTAAGCCAGGTGTGGTGGTTCACGCCTGTAATCCCAGCACTTTGGGAGGCTGAGGTGGGCAGATCCAGGAGGTCAGGAGTTTGAGACCAGCCTGACCAACATGGTCAAACCAAGTCTCTATTAAAAATACAAAAATTAGCCAGGCGTGGTGGTGCGTGCCTATCATCCCAGCTACTCGGGAGGCTGAGGCAGGAGAATTGCTTGAACCCAGGAGGTGGAGGTTGTTGTGAGCTGAGATAGCGCCACTGTACCCCAGCCTGGGCAACAGAGTGAGATTCCATCTCTAAATAAATAAATAATTAATTAATTTAAAAAAAGAAAAATCTGAGGGCTTAGTGATTATAAATTTAACTTGGTGCACGGCCACTGAGTTGCAGAGCTGAGATGTGAACCCAGGTCTGTTTGATTTTAGGCCACTGAGTTGTAGAGTTGAGATGTGAACCCAGGTCTGTTTGATTTTAAAGCCCAAAAGGAAGGCATGTCACTTTAAAAAAGGGAAAGGGCAAGAAATGGAAGAAGGAAAATGATGTGTCTTCTACAGAATTGGTGGAGTTCATTTCTTCAGCAACTCTCCTCCCCACCTTATTTTAGGTTTAGGAATAATATCAAAAGCAGTCAGTCATTTTTCTTCCTCTTCTTATTATTATATTGTTTTGTTTTTTGTTTTTTGTTTGAGATGGAGTTTCGCTCTTGTTGCCCAGGCTGGAGTGCAATGGCGCGATCTTGGCTCACCGCAACCTCCGCTTCCTGGGTTCAGGCAATTTCCTGCCCCAGCCTCCTGAGTAGCTGGGATTACAGGCATGCGCCACCATGCCCAGCTTTATTATTATTTTCAAGACAGGGTCTCCCTCCTCTGTCACCCAGGCTAGAGTGCAGTGGTTCAATCTCAGCTCACTGCAGCCTTGACCTCTCAGGCTCAAGCAATCCTCCTGCCTCAGTCTCTTGAGTAGCTGGAACAACAGGTATGTGCCACTATGCCTAGCTAATTTTTTATATTTTTTTGTAGAGATGGGTTCCTGCTATGTTGTCTAGGCTCAAGCAATCCTCACACTTCAGTGTCCCAAAGTGTTGGGATTATTGGCATAAGCCACTGTGACTAGCCCCCAAGAACCACTGTATAGTATTGGTGCCAACCTGGGCCATTAGGTCTATTGGTATGTTTTCAAGTTTTTGATATTAAGGTGGCATACATGTATAAGCTTGTCTATAAGATGAATTCCTAGAAATAAGCTTGTTTATAAGATGAATTCCTAGAAATGAAACTGTTTAAGTCAAAGTTAAAAAATTTCACAGTGATATCAACTGCTCTCCAAAGATGGCTTTATCAATTTATGTTTTTGCCCGCAGTGTATGTATGTGCTTGTTTCCCACGTCCTCACCAGCATTTTGGCATTATCAGTGCTGGTGTGAGAAGTAAAAATGGAAATTGTGATTGTAATCTTGTTTACCTTTGGCTTCAATCCTCTGGCCACTTCCAATCAAGCAGTCCTTGATGTCTGTACCCTTCTCGATCACAGCATTGTTGCAGATGACGCTGCCTTGGATGTTGCTTCTGTAACATAGTAGCCAAGTTAGGGAGGACCCAGGGCTCGCATCATCATCCTCATTATTATTGGTTGGGAATTCTGGCTCCTCCCTAGGCCAGGAACAGCTGGGCAGTCTACTTAATGGCTACCTGCCTCAAGTTATCAGTGGAAGACACAATGGTAAGCCAAGCCAAGAGAGGACCTGGCTTCACAGAAGTCCAAATTTGGGACTATCCTCGTAACAATCTTTCTCTAAGGCCTAAAAAGAAGATACTCTGACTTCGGTTCTTTTTTTTTGTTTGTTTTTTAAACAGGGTCTCACTGTGTCACCAGGACTGGAGTGCAGTGGTGTGATCATAGATCACTGCAGCCTCTACAACACCTGGGTTCAAGTGATCCTCCCACCTCAGCCTGTAGCTGGGACTACAGTGCACACCAACATGCCTGGCTAATTACTTCAGTTCTTTAGGACCCCAGAACCTAGAGGTCTAAATTCCATCCAACCTCTTCTTTGGTCTGGGGCTGGTTCTTAGGCTGACCCATCACTGCTGCTTCTCATCTGGGAGTATATACCAAATTTCACTTGAGGCTCAGAAATCAAGAATCCTCCTAGAAGATCAACTCTGGAAACAATGGGCTCCCCACACTCTCACCACAGACTCTGGGAAAGCAAAGCCATACTCATTAAAAACGAAAAAAAAAAAATTTTTTTTTTTTCCAGATAAGGTCTCGCTTTATTGCCCAGCCTGGAGTGCAGTGGTGCGATCTTGGCTCACTGCAGCCTCTACCTTGTGGGTTCAAGCGATTCTCCTGCCTGAGCCTCCCAAGTAGCTGGTACTACAGGGCCACCATACCAGGCTAATTTTTGTATTTTTAGTAGAGATGGGGTTTCACTATGTTGGCCAGGATGGTCTTGAACTCCTGACCTCAAGTGATCCACCTCCTTGGCCTCCCAAAGTGCAGGGATTACAGGAGTGAGTCACCACGCCTGGCCTAAAAAAATTTTTTTAAGAGATAAGGTATTATGTTGCCTAGGCTGGTCTCAAATTCAAGCTCAAGCAATTCTCCTGCCTCAGCCTCCTAAGTCTCTGAGACTACAGGTGCCCATCACTGTCTGGCTAAAAAGGATTTTTTTTTTTTTTTTTTTTTTTTTTTTTTTTTTTTGAGACGGAGTTTCGCTCTTGTTACCCAGGCTGGAGTGCAATGGCGCGATCTCGGCTCACCGCAACCTCCGCCTCCTGGGTTCAGGCAATTCTCCTGCCTCAGCCTCCTGAGTAGCTGGGATTACAGGCACGCGCCACCACGCCCAGCTAGTTTTTTGTATTTTTAGTAGAGACGGGGTTTCACCATGTTGACCAGGATGGTCTCGATCTCTCGACCTCGTGATCCACCCGCCTCGGCCTCCCAAAGTGCTGGGATTACAGGCTTGAGCCACCGCGCCCGGCCTAAAAAGGATTTTTTAAAAACCAACTCCATTCCACATAAAAAACTATTCCAGACCCTAAAGCATACCCCAAGAGCAGCACCACTTGCTCGTAGCATTTAAATGCATTTAAAAAGCGGCCAGGTGCAGTGGCTTATACCTGTAATCCCAGCACTTTGGGAGGCTGAGGCAGGGGGATCACCTGAAGTCAGGAGTTTGAGACCAGCCTGACCAATATCATGAAACCCCGTCTCTACTAAAAATACAAAAATTAGCTGGGCTTGGTGGCAGGAGCCTGTAGCCCCAGCTACTTGGGAGGCTGAGACAGTAGAATTGCCTGAACCCATTGGGTAGAGGTTGCAGTGAGCTGAGATCATGCCATTGCACTCCAGCCTGGGCAACAAAAGCAAGACTGTCTCAAAAAAGAAAGGAATTTATGACTAACCTTTACTGTACATCTATTCTATGCCAGGTATTGTGCTAAATAAATACTCTCTGTACCTAATAGGAGTGACTTTTACAAATCTAGTAATTTCTTTTTTCTTTTTTTTGAGACAGAGTCTTGCTCTGTCGCCCAGGCTGGAGTGCAATGGCACAATCTGGGCTCACTGCAACCTCTGTCTCCTGGGTTGAAGCAATTCTCCTGCCTCAGCCTCCCAAGTAACTGGCATTACAGGTGCCTGCCACCATGCCTGGCTAATTTTTTTTTTTCTTTTTTGAGATGAAGTCTTGCTCTGTTGCCAGGCTGGGTGCAGTGGTGCAATGTCGGCTCACTGCAACCTCTGCTTCCCCAGTTCAAGTGATTCTCCTGCCTCAGCCTCCCGAGTAGCTGGGACTACAGGTGCACACCACCACGCCCAGCTAATTTTTGTATTTTTAGTAAAGATGGGGTTTCACCACATTGGCCAGGATGGTCTCGATCTCTTGATGTTGTGATCCACCTGCTTTGGCCTCCCAAAGTGCTGGGATTATAGGAGTGAGCCACTGTGCCTGGCCATTTTTTATATTTTTAGTAGAGGCAGGGTTTCGTCATGTTGGCCAGGCTGGTCTTGAACTCCTGACCTCAGGTAATCCAACCTTTTTTTTTTTTTTTTTGAGATGGAATCTTGCTCTGTCCCCCAGACTGAAGTGCACTGGTGCAATCTGCAACCTTCACCTCCCAGGTCCAAGCAATTCTGCCTCAGCCTCCCAAGCAGCTGGGACTACAGACGCGTACCACCACGCACAACCAATTTTTGTATTTTTAGTGGAGATGGGATTTCATCATGTTGGCCAGGCTGGTCTCAAACTCCTGGCCTCACATTATCTGCCTGCCTCAGCCTCCTCAAATGTTGGGATTACAGGCATGAGCCACCATGGCTGGCCACAAATCTAGTAATTTCTTTTTTTTGAGATAGGGTCTTACTTTGTAATCCAGGATGGTGTGCAGTGGTGTGATCTTGACTCACTGCAGCCTCTATCTCCTGGGCTGAAGTGATCCTCTGCCTCAGCCCCCCAAGTAGCTGAGACTATAGGCATGTGTATACTATAGTGTAAGAAATAACAAATAAAACCACCCTCAGTGTCCTGGCCCCCATCAATTATTTTGGTAGGTCTTGGGTAGAAGTTTAATGTATTTAACTGAAAGAAAACCCCTCCTAGATGATTCTGGGAGTACTATTTTAATCTCTGAGGCAATAAAAAAGAGCAACCACATTTTGCAGATGAGGTAACAGATTTAGAGAAGTTAAACCATTCACTGAAAACCATATAACTGCTAGTAACCTATTTAAATCTAGGTCTGCCTGACTTCAGAATCCATAATTTAATCATAATGCAATACAAAGAAATTAAGAAAAGACTAGAGGAGACCTAGAACTGCCTTATTCTGAGCTGAGATGGCTCAATGGAAGGAGCTCTTTTCTAACAAGAAGATATTCAGTACCCCTGGGTCAGAAATGGGAAGAGCAAAAAATGGGCAGCTGGCGGGGAGAAAGAGGAGGATAGAGAGGGTGTAAGCACCCTTTTAACAAAACAAAACTAAGGAAAAATTCTCAACCTAAGAGGCATGAGGGGGTGGGGAAGAGGACATTCTGAGGACTGAAAACACTGATACACAGGCCATTAAAAAAGATTATTCCCAAATGCCAAAACTTAGTAAAATGAAAAAAAATGTTAGTACTTTATGGGATTTCAGAGACTTCTTTATCTCTATTCTCCTAGGAGGTTAAAGCCTGTTGGAAAGCAGCAAAAGGCCAAAACCACAGCACTTCTGTGGTGTAGGCTAGCGATGGGGAGAGACAGCACTAGTTTGCCCTTTGGCAGACTTGGGATACACTCAGTGGGTGGGCTTTAAGAGAGCTTCCAGAACTTTCCAACTTGCCTAACTTGCAAAGCAGTCCAGCAAGCAGTTAGGGTGGTTCCTGATTTTGGGGGAAAATTTCTCCAAAAAGGGTAATAATGAAGCATAGAAAGCTTTAGCTACAGAGGCTCCTGGGATAAAGCTGCCCTTCAGTTAGCTACTAGTTTGTCATGGAAAAGTCTTATTTCTTTTTCCAAGGTGGTAGTGGGGGTATGCTTCCTACTCAGAAGTAAGAACCAAACAATGTGTGCTCTGAAGCTAGGTGAGGGGTAAATACAGCAGACAAGAAACAGCTAACAGGAACTCAACCATAATTAGAGACAATAAAACATCTATTTTGGAATCTGGGATATAAGTGGGAGAGATTTCTGGAAGGAAGAGGTAAGAATAACTGAGGTCGGATTTCCACAGTAATAAACAGCCTGGTTTTTCCTAGGCTTCGTAGATCTGATTGGGGTCTTCAGGAACCTCTCATATTGCCTATCTCATCCAGTTTATGTGTAACTCTGAGACACATAAACCATGGCTGTAGAGCGTGCAGATATGATAGGGAAAGCGGGGTGACCAATGGAAAGCTCTGGGCCCTCCTGAGGCTCCTGGTCAGTGGATCTGTGGAAGGCTTTGAGATGAATATCTGACAACAGCTTACTGGGTGTGAAACTCTTTTCTGACCATCTGTATCCTCAACTGTTCCCCAGTATTACCGTGTAGTCACAAATCACCTCCATTAGCAAGGCTGAGGTACTTTGGAAAAATTTCAACCAAACACAGCTTTTCCCATTCAAGAAGAAACTCCAGGATCAAGGACTTTACTGGGAGTATGTCTGTTCATGCTACAGGGAGTGTAAAGACAGGACTATATCAAACAAGCCCTCTACAGGTTGCCAACTGGCAGCGAAGTCTCTGTCTTTTCTGTTTAGTGCCTAAAGAGAGAGAAGAGATGAGTTCCTACAGTCCAAGAAAAGAACTTGCTCTAGGATAGAATTACAGCTTCTGAATTCTAGTTTTAACTTTCAGGTTGGCACTAAGCACTCTGCTGTGCTAATGTCTAGCTGTGTTCCCTAAGATGCTGCTCCGTGATGGCTAAGACTAAAGGAGACTTGGTTCTCATTTCTCCTTGGTGGGTTCAAATTTCAAGCACAGAGGCAGGCCTTGCAAAATTACTCTGAAAACTGTAATACTTCAGTGGAAAGGAGGCCATGAGAAAAACACAGAGTTCTACAGTAAGTGCACTGCTTGGCCAGGGACACTACGCTATACTA